TCTGGGGCCGGGTTTAATTCCCGGTCGGGTCAATTTAGAAAAAGGTCTCGGGTCTGGGTGTTGTTGTATCTACGTTGTCTCAGATGCTTCATAATACGGGGGCATTAGCTACTCGTCTTGGAATCTGAGCAATGTATGTGATGTTGTCTAATATTTATTATTATTACAATAAAATATATATTGCTGCCTGGATTCCGTGCGGAAAAGAACAACTAAAGATAACCCTGGCTCAACTTAAGATGAACCATCATCCAGGGGCTTATCTAGCTATGCTACCGCCACGGGCAAAGATGACTACATACGGGTCCCTTTACAAAATCATCATAAGTCATGAACATATATAATATCAAGGCATACTCCTCTAGGATGTACTTCACGAAAAAGAGATCGTTCAAACATATTATATGTAATACTAGACGAGGTAGCGGTGGCAGGTTACCACAGCTATTCAGGACTAACCGAGGTAAACCTAACTTCAGTTTCTCTAATTTTCTAGTCCGAAAGTATCCAATCTTTGCCCTTGAAATCAACACAAGCTATAGACTACATTATAGACAACATTGTAGAAAAAAAAAATATTCTAGGTACATCATTAATTATAACTTGCCAATTCAATAGGTTACAATTACAATATTAGTTCCACTTGAATTAACGTATTACCTATCTTTATTGCGATACTATAGCCCGATAAAGTAGCATACTTTTTAGAGCATGCATGCATGGGTAGCTGTAGTACCCCGAGTGAACTTTAATTAACACCTGTTTTAATTTTTTTTAGTGAAACCATGAAGATTTAATTGGTTTATTAACAGTTTTTCAATGTCGTATAAAATTTCCATTTCGTAAGAAGAATTTTATTTCCTCATTGCTAAATTATACACCTTGAAAGATAAAAATAGATAAATACAAATTAATATTGAACAACAATATTTTTTTGTTTAAGTCTCTATATATATTAATAATAAAAACAAAGTATAAAAACAAACTAAAGCATTTGAGTTGCGCAGACCGGGTATATAACAATATGACGCAGTATGCTACCTAAATAGATATATCTTTAATTCTGACTAGAAAAAATCACAGAAAAAACAATCAATAACAAACATTGTCAGTATTATTAAAACTTGCGTCGATAATATGTCACTATATTTTATGTGTCAGGCAGAGCTCGGTAACCTGGTTACGTAAGAAACTCCTTACATTTTTTACTAGAATTCCCATTCAGGTTTAGGTTATTTAAAATCGAAATTATATCTATTCTAAACAAAACGAAACTGATTCTGCTTAAAATATCGAAATGTTACTTCAACAAATCATAATTTTAATAGAAGAGACGTACTTGACAGATTTCACAACAAATTATCAAAATTTGGCCTTTCAAATTATTATCTTCGTACATTGATAGGTGAAGTCAAACCAACATTTCAGTTCTTCTCGCCTTTCTTTTTGTCACACTAACGTTAACTTCTGTTGAGTGCTTTTCAATCTGTGGGTCTCGACCCCACGGTGGTCAACACTACAGCAAACACAATATTTCATTATTTCACATGTTCAATCATGGTGCTATTTTTTTGAAATATTGATGAATAAATACCTATTTACCTAATAAGTACGTAAATAAAGAAAGTTATAAATTTAGTTTTAAATTTATAATAAAACAAAAATCTATGTATAGCCTGAAAAGTGGTCACATATTCAAAAACTTTGAAAAACACTTCTCTAGTGCAAGGTTTAATGTCAAATCAATTATTAGATTATTCTGACGTTCCAAGACCGATTAGACGCACGCGACACATCTTCCGTTAGATAAGTATCCACCGAATACGATTTCATAAAAGTTCACACGCTCCTATACTCGTACAATTATAGTATGAGGTCAATAGTAACATCTTATCTTTGGTTCCGAAAAGTTTTAGTATTTAATTTCAATATAATTATTTATTTGCTTGTAGTGGGGCAATAGTGTTGTTCTGTTTTGATGATACAAAAGAAGCTTCTTTCAAATATTTTATTTTCATTATCAAATAACATTTTTTGTACAAGAAAATATTTAAATGGTTAAATCTAAAATACAACATGATATTTCTACATAACAATGTTACTTTTCAATTTATAAACATAATGAAAGACCCTTTAATTGGTTCCCACTCTCCCAGTCAAAGTAAGTAAGTTGTTCTGTTGTACCACTACTGTCTTAACTAAAAAAAAACTAACTTTAATTTAAATTTGTTTCTTAATATATTATATAATTTTACTTTTGATAACTTGGTTATTTTCACAAACAATATTTCTATCAAAAAATAGAACCGGCTTCAAACCTTTAAAACGTGATATAATACTAATGTTGAAAGCGACTTCATTATTCAAGAAACTGCAATTGAAGTTGGGCGATTATCATTTAATAATCTACAGAAACCTCCGCTCGATTTCAATATCGAGTTTCTCGAATAATGAAGTCGCTGTTACGATAAATGTTTGTCATGATTTTTAGTAATATAGATTTTTTTTAAACATGGAAATTCCTCAATACGAATTTTGAATGAATTTATAATACGCTATCTTTTGTTTTGTCGCTGATATAAACATCTTGTCTAAATATTTTATGAAAGGTATAGTTTGTTTTGTTATAAGACAAAACTATCAATTTGATTTCAATAAAATTAAATAAGCTGTCTAATGAAAAAAGAATCATTAAAATTGGTTTATAAATGACGAGAGTTATCCGCGAACAAACATATATATACTGTCGAATTGAGAAACCTCCTCCTTTTACGGAGTCGGTTAAAAACATAATTTCACAGGACACAACCTAAAATCAGTCTAGTTTGTGCAACAGAATTGGTACCATTGACTCGTGAGCTAAATTATAAGAAAAGAACCGATTGCGAAAGATTACATATTCGACCCCCATCTCGTGTACTAGAAACTGTCGATGGTTTTAAGTATTTATCTATACTAAAAGCCATATCAAGTTTATAAAAGTAACAAATTTATACAATATTTAAATGGTCTACAGGTGATGTTCAGATTTAAAATAAAAACTTCATTCAAACCTTAATAATATTAGATTTCAATATCTGTCAGTTCTAATAGATATGGGACGTCCTTAACGCGTACTATGGCATGCAGTAGTTTGTGCAATGCAGTTGCATTCACCGACTAGAGTTGCGACACAACTGAATGTGTGAAGGAGCGGGTTCCACTAGACACCATGGAATCTCTTTCACCACGAAATCCAAAATGCATTTCTGTTTACCGAATTGTAGATATTTAAAATTTAATTTTAGCTTTTGTACCAATTTCTATATGTGATAGGTATTTTTGAATATGAATTGAACTTGATTAAACTTTTTGCTAATGCTCCCTATTTTTCTACTCATGAGGGCAATATGGGCGAACCTATGTAACATGGGAAAACGGTATGTGTTGATATAATGAAGATATGTTTTCCACACAGTTCATAATCAGTTATTAAAAAGGGAAGTTTTATTTATTTACATGTATATTTTGATGGTTTGCTTATTTTTTTAATGTTTTAAATATTTTAATCCTGACTTTGCAATTTTTTCATTTATATTTTTAAAGGATGTTTTATTATATAGATAGAGATACCTATTTAACATATATCTAATAGAAATCTATTTATACATGTAAGATATATACTTTATTTTTAACAAAACATACAATTTTTATTATTTAACTGTTATAAGTAAGATAGGCTTGAAGCTTTTGAATATTTTTCAGAAAATATCTCGAACCAAACAAAACGCTTAACAAATTCGTGTCTTGTAAATTTGTATTCTCAAGGAGACTGGTGCAATTTATTCATATGTAATACCTTCCAATATTTTTAAATGAATTTTATCAATGGTGAAAGCGTATTGGATTTGTGAAGGTTAGATCGTGTGAACGATTTAATAACTTATTTTTTGACCTTATTTTTAAGTCCCTTGTTAAGTTATTTAGTACGACATCTATCTAAACTTTTATACATCAATTCTTATTAATATATCAAGTTAAAATATATTAGTTGTGATATGTCACCAAGAATATAATTGCCAATCGATTGTGAAATATGAAATTTATAACTGTTAATAGAACTTACTTGGAAGAATATTTTACAACAAGTATCGGGTGTGGTAATTATTTGACATAACAATAAGCTTTCAAAACTTACCTTACCTTAGAACCATGGGACTATTTAAAAATACACGTATTAATACTTGCTCCATTTTAAATGACCACGTTGATCTTGAAAGTAACTGGTATTGTATATTTGGATGTCTGCTTTAAAGTAACTGCTCGAGATTTTAAAAACCTGTTCCGAATGGCTCAGGTGAATGTACTTTTTCGTAAATTCCACCTGAAAATTTAACTTGAACATTTTTTGAGAAACTTCTGGTCTCTTTTTTACTTTTAATATGATAAAGATGAAGTAAAATTTGTACACATTGTGTATAATGAAAAGGAAACAACTTATACGGGTCAAGTACACATCTGTCATATTTGTAATTATTAATACGACTTAATGGAAGTTGTTGAAGGAATTAAATAATGATTTAATTATCGATTGTTTAATTCACAAAAAAAAATATGTTAATAACTTATGAACGTTTTATGGCTTTCAGTAAAGTCAAGTAACAATAATTTCAAAATATTATTTTAATGTTCTCTTTGTTAAGTTGACTAGATGTTTAACTAATTTTACTCTCACGGTGTAGATCTTGACGTGAACCATAATTAAATCTGTAAAAAACGTTATATTCAAATTGAAGTAGTTTAAATCCTTGTCATTAATTACAAAGAAATGTTATTTAATTACTTATAAACATCAATGATTCGGTTCAACACCGTATAATGTGTTTCCTTATTGCTCATCTTCACACATTTTGTGTGTTTATTCTAAAGTGTAAATTTCCTCACTTGAAAAATGTTCTTATCCTATTTGCATAATTGTAACTTATTTGTGTTCACACTTACGTTGTTTCTTTTCTTTACAGGTACTGAGGAAGAAATTTCTTCGAATACTAGTCTTTGTGCTGAACAGACACAAGTGATGCTTAGTGTTATTTAGATTCTAGTGATATAAATCGAATAAAAATGTCGGTGGAGACCCATGAATACATTAACGGGCTAAGGCCGGGTCCGCTCACTAGGGAGATCCCGGAGTGTATGAGAGACAAATATACAGTGCTTCAATCTATAATGGACATAGCGTTGTTTTTGGCTATCGGCATCGCGAATATAATACAAGCTATATACAGGACGATAGTGGGGTATCCTAAAAAAGACTTAAAGGGTAAAATTGCTTTGGTGACGGGTGGCGGAGGTGGCCTGGGAAGCCTAATCGCTCTCCGGCTAGCCCGTCTCGGGTGCACTATCGTGTTATGGGACATCAACAAGCAAGGTTAGTGACTAAATTTTTGATATTATCGAGAATAAATATATCTTATAAATATGAACATGAGCAGAGTCATAAAATATATAAATAGTCATGCGTACATATTTGGTTAACCTTATAATAGAATAATAAAAAAAAACCATTTTATTCCTTGTAATTACGTTATGTAATACATATGTAATTACAGTATTATTAACTTGTCTTCTAACAATGTATTAGTGGGTTACTTAGTTTGTTTCTTTTGCATGCACCCCAAATTGAGTAAAGCCTCCTCCAAAGTTGCCCATTTGTCTCTGTCCTTTGCTATTTGACTCCAGTTTGAGCCAACGGTTCTTTTAATTTCATCGCATATTGTGATTGATCTGCTTTTGTTTCTTTAACATTGTGCCTCTTACACTCCATCGCTGGTCTGTAAGCCTGGCAACGTGCCTTCACATTTCACATTCTCTTAGTGCGTAGGTCAAGGCATCTTTAGATTTTTTAGGATCTAATTTTAGTGTGGCTTATTTTTTCTAATTTCTTTACCTTCAGCATACCTCTACTTCTTTCCATTCCTCGTTGGCAGGTGGTAATTTTGTGTTTAGTTTTAGCCACGAATTTCCACGTCTGACCCGTACGCTAGACACGGTAAGGCTCGAGTCCATAATTCTAGTCTTTAGATTTATGGGTAAGTTACTCTTGAAAATTTCCTTAAGACTCCAGAACTTGTTCCATGTTTGTTGTAGTAGAATAATAACAGAAAAAAAATCGGTGATTCATAGAAAAACATATTTATAACATGAAATGTACCCCAGTATTCTTCTAAAAAAGTCACAATGTTATCTTTACCACATAATAAATTTAGTATCTGTGACTATCAAACTTTAATATGATTTGATGTAGTATTTCATGGCAAGGCTAAAACTTAATACGTAAAACTGTGATTGAAATTTAAATTTATGTAATGTAATTTACTTAAATTTTTCGTGAGGAAAAACGTTTTATACTATGTATACCTATTGATTTTAGCAGCAGTCGCCCGGATTGCGAAAAATCATGGGTTAGAGTCTCATCTCATACTGCCAGGGACAAAGTGGATTTATTAAGCATTTTTTATTAAGTATATTTTCTTATTTGTGATTGCAAAATTGATCAAATAAAATAATAATGTACACAACTACAAAAACATTTTTTCATACTTATAAAGAAAACCTGTCAATTTCATATCCAAGTATACCAAATACGTTGTTCTCTAGATACAATAATATATTTGATGATTAGAAAAGGGAACAGATTTTGGAAAATGTATAATATAATTAATAATTTATTTGCGTTTGAATTGACTGTCGCTGCGTTATTGAATATAGTGAAGTGAGTGCTTACTATATTTGCTCGCTATGAAGACATTGGAGATGATTTCTCAACATTACTAACTCACGCATTCGTGTTATCTGTACCCAAATCGCTATGAGTATCGTGTGTATTGTTGGGAAATCATTAACATTCATTTATCTGTTACTTTTCGCAAAACTAAACGAAGTTAGAGCTTTATGAATGTAATTATTGTCAATTTGGATAACTATAAATACAAACATATTGGCTTAAGACAATTTAATTAAGTAAACGTAAGACAGCTAACTAAGACAGCTACTTAATGCAAAAAAAGAAACTGGAGATGAGAATTCGAATCTTTAACCTTTCGTGATCAGTCCTGCGATTCTGTTAAATTCTGAACCCAAATACAAATTCACTCAGGTGTCCAAATTCACTTCAAAAGTGGCATCCGCTCAACCTTGAATTGGTAATAACATTTCGTGACATAGATGAAGTGAGTTTTGAAATAATATACTAATATATCTGAGACATGTATTAATCAAATAATATTGTTTTGTATTTTTATATAATAATGGAATCGACAGAATTTCTACACATTAGTGAATACGAATCCGGGTACGGATTTTTACAGAATTGCTCTGCTGGGCAATTGTTCTAACCGTTGTTCTTAAATTCTTGTTTACTTCGCGTGAGCTTATTTTCATAAAATTTCGGGTAATACGTATTACACACGTATTACATAAACAAATACATTTTAGATGTTAGAATTATCTGATTTTGATAAAAACTGTCTAACCTGAATATTTGCAGTAATACTCCCAATAACAATAAATTTATTGCTTTCTTTGTCAATATGAAATTGTGATATACATAAAGTTCCTCTAAACTCGATGAACACAAAATAACTCAATTTTAATACCGGACAGTAATATAATCAAATTATAATGGCGTCGGTACATCATACCTTAGAGCCTATTTTATAAATGGACACTAAACGCTAAAGAAAATCTCTAGAAGTTTATGTATTATATGACAAATAATGACTTGATGATTCATTTTGAAATTCAATATAATTTACTCAATCTAGGCTGTTAAAATTACATGTGAACAAAGCAATGTCATTGGTTCTCAAAACGGCGGAAGACTTTGATTGTGATAAAACGATTCGTCCATTTTTCATTGTATTGTTATCACTGATACATAGAATTCGATAAATAATCAACTGGATACCTATTTTTTTCTATATATTATCATATGTCTGAGTACCACACTGGTGTCTTTTCGAAGCAATATCTTCGATCGTAGTATGTATGACTGCAATCAAAGTATATATTGCTAAGATGTTGTCAATTAATATTTCGAGGGTCTTAACAACACGTTAAAACCACGTGCCCCACTCCAAATATTTGCCCTTAACGCTGTCGAAACCTAGACCAATGTTTGCTGCCATTCTGTTCTAAGGCCAATACTGCTTGCGGCAACTGATCGGTGAACACTACATTTCCATTTATCATTCCTCCGCTAATTTCCTGTTTTGTAACTTATGTTTAACTCTGCCAATATCACCTACGAAAATTTTTAAGAAAACATCTTATGTAATTATAATAATTCTTAAATACGCATGTTTTAACTAAAATTAACTAAAACCAGTTTAAAACAATTATCAAAAAGGCCTTCAAAACTCAACATTTTTATATAAAAAAAAAGAATACGAATAAAATAATATGAAAAGGTATTATTGGTAAAATACACAGAACAATAGCAACCAAAGGCAGTCAATGTCAATGTCTTAAACGCTTTGTTAATTAAGCAAGTTGTTGCGTTCGTTGTGAATTAGAGCGTATATAATTGATGTACGATTATCTTTTATATATATATTAGCATACACATTATTTTGTGTTTAGTTATTAAGAAAGGACGTTCAAAAACTGAACTGAACTTTTTGCATTGAACTTTCGAAATATTTTGAAGTTTTGAAATCTTATATGAAGGCACTTCTTAGGAGGAACTAACTTGTCAATTTATTGTTATTATAAATTACTGGTAGGCGTGTGTGAAGTTCTATTGTACAAATACACATTGGTGTGTTTGTAACTTTCTCATGTCGCAAAATAAATGGTTACATTACATATTGTAGCCGAGTTGGTGACGTTATGTTTAAATTAGAGTCATCTGCTATACCCATAATGACATGGCAGTTATGCAATTGAACCATCATTCATAACCTTGGCTTGTATATACGTACAAGGCAAAGAAGACTTTATATAAAGGCGAATTTATTGAACTTAGACTGAACTAAAATAATCCTGTTAATATTTTGAAACATCAGCTGATCTTGGGCAGGTTTTAGGCCTCGAAAAAATGTAATACGTGAAAATGCTTTCATATATAACGCTGTATTATGAAAAATCAATATTTTCTTATAAAAATCGAAGATCACAAAATGATTTATTTCAAATCGTTTTAATTTATATAAATTAGAAAATATTTTTATTTTACTAATATAGTTTAGATATATGATAATGTCATAATTTGCAAAGTCTGTCGTGAGCGTATATTTTTCGCAATGACGATATTTTTTACTAATAAAATAAAAAATCTAACCATATGCGAGAAGCATTCGGGCAAACTGTGGATTCCGAATAAACTTGTAATATGTAGCACAACATTAAAGAAATTTACTTTGAAGATTATTGCCACATTTTCTAGTAAGTTCTGAGTTCTCCTTGAAATCAACCATATAACGAATAACTACAAAATTCGATATACATTCTCCAAAATAATTAAGTAACACAACTTTTTTATTTTACAAGAAAATACTTTAACCACAGTACCTGCCGCCTGGCGAGCGCCCCTGGCGAGCGGCAGGCGGTCCTCGTATGGGACTTTTCTCAGTCACCGGAGGCGCCCTTAACCAAATTCTACGATGTACTGAGAAAGAGACTCCTGAAAATTTGACTCTGGAAACTGTTATCGAGTCACCAGGATACTCACTCCTCTAACAGATCCCACGGTCTACCGTTATGGTCGGAGAGGCTCTCATAGACAGCTGAAATTGTGCAATACGGTAGCCACCCAGGCTGTCAACCACACCCGCTGATCCCTTGTAACTTACTTCAAATCGAATAATATAGATATAAAACGAGTATCTACCTGCTAAATATAATAGCCGCTTTAGTTTACGCAAAATACCAGTCTGTGCAAGTTTTCGACGTTATACATTTTTCGTTGCTGTGGTTTTAGTGGCATGCTCGCTTTGAATGTTACGAATACTACGATTTGTAACAGCCTTAACCTTTCAATTAACTGACAAGGTCTTTTGTGCTAATACGCCAATTCCTTCGCCAGCGATAATTATTATATTTTAAAGTGATTTTCGCAATTCATATTTGGTTTTGTAATTTAAATTATATATTTTTCTTTCTGAATGTATATAACTTATAAGTGTTTAATACGGACAGATAAATATTAATAATGAATAACTTATTTTATTATAGTAACATTTGACTGAATCGATCGTGTGTCTTGGTTTATGATATTCATTACTTATCTATCACGTTAGGTAGGATGTACCACAGTTTTCAGTACAATTACAGTAAAGAATAAAATAGGTATTTTATCGGACATATATAATTTTTACTTCCACAGACATTGCTTTTTTTTTAATTGGTCGTATAAATCAGAATAATTAA